TTTGAGTTATTTGGGTTGCTTTAGGCAATCGTCTAAAGCACAGTCATTAATGCATTTTTAATGATGATTTATTCAATTTTCAAGATGTGACCACAGATCGAATAAATTTTCATTTTTTCATCTTTTTCCTTTTATTTTCGTCGTCGTTGAGGCTGCCGAATTTTTCCAACCTTCATATGAACTTTAATTGTGAATTGACTTGATCTCTGATGAAGACTAGAACGCTAGTGAGATGTTGATGAAAATCTTTTTAAGGATTACCCATTATCACCACCAAAAATGCAATTTACATGTGATATATTCCATCCGAATATCTATCCTGATGGTCGTGTTTGCATCAGTATATTGCATGCGCCTGGTGTTGATCCAACTGGCTACGAGACAAGCGCTGAGCGTTGGTCGCCAGTTCAGTCAATTGAAAAAATCTTAATTTCTGTGATTTCGATGCTTGCTGGTTCGTTTTCGTGTGAAGATTTAGAGTAGTTACTTAGAAGTTGTACTCATAGAGATACAATCAAATTGGAAATTTTTTTTGAATTTGTGCAAAGCGATTATCTTATCAGGCGAACAATCCTATTGTTTGTGCTGTATGCAGTGCTTTTTTAAGACCATTTCATCCAGATAACTGATAGAAAGTAACTCTCAAATACATCGAGGGAAAATCATAAGAATAAAAAATGTTATAGGTTTCAATGAGCAGTTTGTCCGCGACAAGATCCCTTATCAAATGAAATTTTAGTTTTATTAGTATTCAGCTAATTTGAAACCACCATTTCATTGTTCGTATGGAATCTCAGCTTGAATTTCTAAATTTTCTTTGGAATATATGAATGTGAATCGTTTTAAGAGCCAAACGATGAGAGTGCAGCGAATGTGAACGCAGCAAAGATGTGGCGTGAAGATCGAGAACAATTCGAAAGAATCGCTGACAATTTGGTTCGTCAGACATTGTGTCTTCCGACGAATACGAGTGAATAAAATCTGAATGAATTGCATTTTGAACACTGAAGAATTAATTCATATTTTGCATATGCATTATATCTTCGTATCTTGTAATGATTTACTGCATCATGCATGGTAAAACGTGAAACGATAACAGCTGATTGGTACAAATCTCACCGATTCTGTTTCATACGAAGAAGTTTTATTTCTTTTTTAATGTCTGATTACCTTAAAAAGTTGAAACGATTGGTTGAGAAGCACTAAAAGCATGAGTTGGTAAGCAACCGTGTAAGAAAATTTGTCCAGAAATATTAAATAACACACTTGATTGCCGAGAGGGCTCGCTCTGATGAAATGGTCATCAGTTAAAGTGAAAATGTTTGAACCACTTAACTCACACATCCGTCAAATATAGTCATTTAAAATGTCATCTTGAATTGATAAAAACTGCAAAAAACTATGTATTCATATGGAGCGATATGAATTTCCTTCCAGTATGCTGTCATGTTTTCAGTTTTAATGAATGATGTTCAACTCATTGAGATGTTTTATGTTTTATTCAATGTGATACATTCCGACAATACCATCAACATTATGTGTATGAAGATGGTCATCAATTACCCACTGATATTTGCTTGAAATGGGGTTCTGTTTCCGATTATAAATAAAATATTCAAAACATCGAAGAAACTGAAACATGCTTTTATTGTGGCTCAATTCAGTGTCACAAGACTTGTCTTGTAAGGGTGTTTAGAACAGGTTTCTTAAAATAATTTTGTTTTCAATAGTTGTATCTACTGCACATGTCAAATGATCTTGTTGATCTGGAACCGCAACTGGATTTGAAGCACTTTATAGAAGTTTCATATCCACTCAAAATCAGTTCCGTTATATAGTCTATTCAACAAGATGGAAGAACCATACGGTATTGTTACAATTTCAAAGGAGCTGAGAAAATGCCGTGTATTAAAGCTAATGAAAAATAATTCGTATCGAATTATTTTTCATTCATCATCCTCAGATCAACTTATTCTTTGGTAAACACATGATTTCGACGTCGTTAAAGATGAACGATTGAATATATAGCTCTCAAGTCGTGGCAATAGAATTCTACTGTGAAAAGTAACAACAGAGTTCTAAATTGTTGCGGCGTAACATAGCACGTTGGATTGACGCAATGAGCAGAAAATGAAGAATAAAAGTGATTGGTGGATCAGAACTTCTTAGAGGTAATCTCTCATTAATGTTCAAGAAGTTCGTTTCTCATCATTTCCTCAACGATATCTCTGGAGATCTCTCGCGAACATTAACGAATACTCACTGCGTGCTCGTACCTTACTTATTTTTCACCCTGACAGCCCCACTTGGCACTGCGCTAGATGGGTATAACAATACGGCATTGCCAAATATCCGGTAATTCTTCATATAAAACAAAATTAGCACAGAGCAAAGTCCTGTAGGATGCAAATCTTGCTTCTGGAGCTCACCATTACCTGATCATAAAAAATACCAACAAAACAGTCGATATGTCAAGCCGATACGAGATCATCCACATACTCATCTTGTAAATTCATATCTAATTTTATGCAGCTGGCTCACCGTTGCCACTCTTCAACTCATAATTAGAAGACCTTATCCACAAACAGGCTCATGCTTGGATGTATCTGATCTGTACAGTTTACCTTTATACTGAATACTGATGACACGGCACCGTAAAATATAGAATTTCTACTACTTATCATTCAGGACTCTGTTAAAAATATGCTTGAATCCTATGCATTCAATCATTGTAAATATTTCCTCTAATATTCCACAATAATGTTAAGTTATCAGTAGATGAATCGAGAATAGACCAGTATGCAGCACCCACTCAATTATATCAGAAAGTAATGAAATGATTGTTTTGCGAGAACAACAGATGCACAAACAAATAATGTATTTGTA